CAGGAATAGATCAGGAATAACTCCACTGGAGCAGGACAAAATCAGAATAAGAAGCCTCTAAATATGGTACACTACAACTGGAGTTATACTTAATTATTACTAACTGTGTCCAATTGCATATCTGCTTATTCATTCATTTCTTAGTAGTTTATTCAGTCTCTTAGTAGGGTATTTAATCCCCCACCTAATTACTGCTGCACATCTTTGAGTTCATTTTTGTCTCCGAATCTTCCGAGTTCCTGTTTTATTATTCATTTGTAGCAAATATATTTTTTAAACACTTGTATCGCTCAGTCACATACAAAATCGTAACTCACAGTATTGTTTGAGGAAAGATCACTATGTAATGTAAGAGTGGATTCACAGAAAAGCCACTGGAAACTGGGATCTTTAGCCTGGGATGCCAAACCGGATCAGTCCTTCCTCATGTGAAGCTCCCAGTGATCTCTGCTGAATCAGCGGACAAAACCTGCTGGGTTTACAGTCTGGTTTGGGTTGTGCAGCCCAAACAGCAGCCTTCATTGTCAGCCACAGGTAGTGGAAATGCTGGCACCCTGTGGATGCTCTTTACTTCTACTCCTCTCAGACTCCTTCCTTTAGAGGAAAAAAATAATTCTGGCTTCCCTTCCTAATGTTTCTATAACAATTGACTCTCCATCATGAACTGGTAAACAGATTTGCTGTAAGACCTAGAGAGATTCCGGTCCCTGGCTCTGGCACCAGCTCCCGGCCGCCTGCCACGGCTACGTGATCTGCCATCAGCACCGGGCAGTCCTGGCCCCCCAGATCTCCATCTTCCTGCTCAGCTCTTTCTCCATTTAATTACGCACACCCTCAAGCATGGCTCGTTCGGGCCTTTTGTTTTATATAATCTGGATATAGCACACTTTGGTACTTTTTTGCTGGGAACTGTCTTTGTGGTGTATTAGCCTCTCAATAATTCAAGAGTTCGGAGAATGACTGCATTCTCTCTCATTTTTCACTCTTTCTCACAGTACTGCCCATCTATTTATGATGACTCGTTCTTTGTTTTCTGCCCTTTCTCTTCAATATTTAATACTTTAAGCTAAATTTACATTTCCTCAATGATTCCCATATGTTAGATATCGTCCTCTGGTTCGCAGGCAGAAAAGAACTTTAACACCAAATAACTCAAGACGTGGAAAAATGTTACAGTCCAGACTCCTGCCTCACCCACACTGCTGCAACCCTTTTGACTTGATCTACCTACATCAGCCCCTTCGAATCAATCACTCAGATTAGCAATTAGACACACGGAGCTGCATGCTGCTCAACATCGGCCAGCGAATAAGACCTTGTGCCTGCACAAACTCCCACTCAGCGGGGTCGACCTAGTATGCGGGGAGCAATGTTTGGCACATCATGTTTCAATTTTGGCGTCATTCATTTTGCGGAAGCGTTGAGGATCAGGTGATACAACATGCTGATCTGAGACCCTCTGCGTGATGCCAGGCAACCTCCACTCCATCGACAGGAGCTAAGGAGCATCTGTGTTTTGG